CAGGCACTTCTCCAGGCCCCAGCCCTCCACTTGCCAGATACCCAAAAACCATTCACCCTCTATGTCCATGAACACAAAGGCTTACCCTTGGAAGTTCTGGGTCAGGACAAGGGTCCAACATTTGCCCTGGTAGCATATCTATCAAAAAAAACTTGACCCCACAGTCTGGGGATGAGCCCCCTGTCTACAGGCCTTGTCAGCAGCCTATGTTCTAGTTCAGGAAGCAAAAAAACTTACTTTTGGGGGGTCAATCACAGTCATCTCCCCCCATCACCTGGTGGAACTCCTGATATATAAGGGCTTAAGAACACTTCCCCCTTGCTGGATCTTGTCACTTCTTGTCTCTTTCCTCCATGACTCCTCCATTACTCTTTGTGCTTGCTCTTCCTTAAATCCTGCCACCCTCCTGCCCACCTCTACTGCCATGCCTACCCACTACTGCGTCGAGAGCCTGGAGGCCCTTCTCCCCTGCCCTTCACACATCCAGGAGGGGCCCCTGCAGGGCTCCACCTACACCTGGTTCACTAATGGCAGCTCATATGTAGAGGGGGGTATACAGAGAGCGGGTTATGCTATAGTGTCCCTAACCCAAGTCATCGAGGCACAGCCCCTCCCTCCCAGTACCACCAATCAGCAGGCTGAACTGTTTGCAGTCATGAGGGCTTTTGAGCTGGCAGCCGACCATTCTCTCACTCTATACACTGACTCTAAATATGTCCTCCACATCCTCCTCTCCCACTCAGATATCTGGAAGAAAAGAGGATTATTATAGTAAGAGGGACCTCTGTCACCAACTCCACTTTCATTACCAACCTTCTCCAGGCCTCTCTCCTTCCTTCTAAGATTGGGATTGCCCACTGCCGGTCCCACCAAATGGATTCATCACCCATAACTATGGGCAATTCTAAGGCAGATCAGGCTGCCTGACAGGTGGCAAGGGAGAATTACTCCACTCTGGCTCTTGCAAAGCCTCAGGACCAGACTCCTGAACCAGCCCATGAGTCACTCCCTAGACACATTCTCCTTTCGTATTTACACTCCATCTTCCACACTAGCACCTAGAATCTCAAGCTCTTCTTAAATTCATTCTTCCCACTTACCCCAGAGGATTCCCAAGACCTATGCCACCTCACCTCCACATGTCCCACTTGTCAGGGGACTAACCCACACACCCCTTTAAGGCCTGGCTCATTCCCTACCCACCAGGCCAGGGGACAAATCCCGGGGGCAGATTGGCAAGTAGACTTTACAAACATGCCCAGAATAAAGAAACACAATTACCTTCTGGTCTTGGTAGATACCTTCTTGGGATGGGTAGAGGCCTTCCCAACCTCCAATAAGCGGGCATCAACTGTGACCTCTATTATTGTAACCCATATCATCCCTAGGTTTGGAGTGCCTACCTCCTTCCAATCAGATAATGGCCCAGAGTTCACATCCCAGGTAACACCAATAACTATCAAGGCCCTTAATATCTCATGGCATTTCCATATCCCTTATCATCCCCCCTCATCAGGAAAGGTAGAGCGCACTAACCGTAATTTAAAGGAGGTTCTCACTAAACTCACCTTGGAACTACACCTAGATTGGGTTCAACTCCTTCCAATAGCCCTCTTCCGCCTACAGGTACTCCCACGGAAACCCACACAAATATCCCCTTTTGAGGTGATGTTCGGGCGCCCAGCTCTGCCTCCAGGAATCACCTCCTCCCAGGGCCCCCTCCCAGGACACCTCGCCTTTCCTCTTCTCTCCTTCACTTGAACCCAGCTATGGCGACACCATGACACCTTATCTCCAGACCCTTCACGCACCATCTCTCTTTCCCTTTAAACCCAGGGGACTGGGTCTACTTCTCTCCCCTTTTCCCTGAAAAGAAACCCCCTACCCAAAAATGGAAAGGGCCCCTAAAAATCATCCTCTGTACTCCTACCGCAGCCTGGTTAGAGGAAACCCCAGGAAAACTAACATCTTGGATTCATATTTCCAGGCTAAAGCCAGCCCAACCCTCCCGGGACATCCAGCAGGACGACCCCATCGGCCCTCCGTCTCCGCTTCCTGCTTCCTCTCCTGGCTTCATTTGCACCCCCTCCCTCAGAAACCCCTTAAAACTCCACATCTCTTGGCTTCGTGTTCCCTCCCCCGTCCCCGAGGATGTGCATTAACCTTCCCCTTTTGTTCTCTGTTCTCAACCTCCTATTTGTGGGTGGGCTGACTAGCATCAGAGGGTACTTCTGGAGATTTAAGATACGGGAAACCTACACCATCTCACAAACTTCTATCACCAGCCTAGTTGGCACTGGTGACTGTCATCCTAAGGGATGTCAGGTTCCTATGTCAATCCCCTTCAAACCCAGGTTTGGTTCCACCCTAAGGAGTGGCTCCTTTGCATTTGCTTGCCCTTTCTTCACCCAAACAAAAAATTACTGTAAAAGGGGAGCAAAATGGACCCAGGAGTATGGGGGTTGTCCCTATTGGTCTTGTCAGGTCTACTGGGTACCAGGATCAAAGGGACCAGACAACCAGTTTCACTTTTATCTGGGAAAAAATGGGACTACCATGCTCCACATCCCTGACCCATGGGACAACAGATGGGTCCAGGGTGAACAGGCAGCCATTTATGCTCAGGGTGACTCCTCAAAACCCTCGGCTCACATTATGATATCCAGGGAGCTAACCCTTCCAATTACCACTCAGAAGGAGTGGTAATAAATCCCTTCACCAGCCCTCCACCCCCCAACCTGGATCCAACTATTCCAGGCCTCACTACAACTCCTAAACCTAACCGTGTCCATTAATGTCACTGACTGCTTTCTTTGTGCCTCCCTCCAGCGTCCTTTACTGGCCGCAGTTCCCATTAATGTTTCATCTTCTATCAAAGCTTCCCCTGCCTTGCAAAACTTCTCATGTGCTCCTCCCTTGCCCTCTGTACCTTTATGGGAACCTGACTTTACACCAGGTCCTCTTCCCACATACACCTGCTATGTCCAGTCCTCAGCTCACCGGTCCAACTTTTCTCTCTCCTGTCATACGAATCTCATGATTACAGAACAACTGGCATCCCCCCTGGGGCTATATTTCTGATGCCACAACACCCTACACTCTAGCATAACTCATGCTATTCCCGGGCCCTGCATACTGGTAATTATAGTCCCCCAACTCACTCTCTACGGGGAAGGTGAATTCTCCCTCCTATTTGGTGCTCAACCAAAGCGTGCCGCCTTCTTGCCCATCATGGTTGGTATAAGTCTGGCGACCTCCATTGTTGCTGCAGGCTTCGCAGCCTTGGCCATAGTTTTATTACTGCAAAAGACTTTGAAGATCACTTACAGATCACCCTCGAATCCACCTCGGCCTCACTGGCTTCCCTTCAACATCACTCACTTCTCTAGCCCAGGTGGCCCTACAAAATCGCAAGGCCCTAGACCTCTTAACGGCTGAAAAGGGGGGCACCTGCTTCTTCCTCTGGGAGGAATGTTGCTACTATGTCAATGAGTCTGGGATTGTAGAACAGAATGTGAAAAAATTAACAGACTTGGCCGAAGACCTCCTAAAGAGACCCACTAAAAACACCTTAACCGACTTGCTAAACTCTCCTCTCGTCACCTGGCTCCTGCCTTTCTTGGGCCCTTTGCTCATGCACCCTCCTACCCTGTTTACTACAATTTCTCAGCTCCCAGGGAAACAAAATCTCTAATCAAACTCTCAACCAGCTTCTCCTCCAAGGATACCAAACCCTCATAGCTCAACCAGAGGACACCTATGATGGATCCTACCGGGACTAAGCATTATGGACCCCTCACAGAATGCCTGCTTCTATTCCTCTACTCTCTACGCAAAGATGGATGGCTAATACCCGCCATACGGAGCTCAGAGGACTGGCTCGAGACTCTTTATGACCTATGGCTACAAGGGACCTTCATCAACTTCAGGGAAGAGGAAATTTTCATTTTCGGAGCCTGGGTGTGCGCCATCATGAGGCTCAGCACCCCAACATTGTTTGCCAACTAACCCTCCCTTCCCCTACCCTGCCCCTTGCCAGCTCGAAGAAGCCAGAGCGAACACAATGCCCACCTTCCTTAACAAACAAAAGAGGGAGGAATGTTGGCAATAATGGCACCGATAGGTTTCAGTTTTTACTGCACCCTTAAGCTTCCGTTTCCCAGGGTCAGGGTCCTGCCTCAAGTCTAGCTTGAGTTCTCCTTCTGCCTCAACCTCCAATCAGCATGAACCATAAGATCCTAACCAATCAGATCATGCTAGGTCCCACTGAGGGGTATTTAAGCCCCTGTCTGCTTGTCCCTCCCCTCCCCTCCCCTCCCCTCTCTCTCAGAAAGCTTTAGCTGAGCAGCATAGATAACTACTCTGCTGAGCAATGATTGCTGTCTGGTCTCTTTTGGGGTGGAACACATAACATCATAAAGAAACGTTTATTGCATATAGTTGGATTGGGGAGAAAATAGTTTTTTATTACCCTTACTTTGGAGACTCCTTCCAACTACCCTTTTATTAACAAGACAAATCTGTGCATGTCCCACGGTTCCTCCCAGCTTGGTTACTGAGCAAGAACACCCAAGGCCGCCACAACCAACCTGCATCCACTGCGCCTCAGGTCTGCGCACTCTGGCTCAGAGACAATGGGAATCACCCGCCTGGGAAGAAGCGCACCTCCTCCACCCCCCAACCCTCAACACAGCCTACCCATGCCCGATCTGCGCGCTCTCTAAGGAGCGGTACTTTTAAAGGGACCTGGCCAATATTAGACAGTGTCTTGTGTACTCCGACAGTGGTAGCAGCTGCAAAAATACAATGAGGTTGGGACAGAATAGCGTAAGAATGAAGGCTGAACTGAGAAGCACCTGGCGGGCTTAAGAATTCCGCGGCTCCACCTCCGGGACCGATAGGTGAGGACGCTTTTGGCTTCCGGGACTTGCGGCCGCGCGCGCATGCGCCAGCTGGGTACGGCGCTCACTTCCCCTAGGCCTCCCCGCGGGAATGGTTTGTAAGGTCCAAGTCGGTGTTCCCCGGAATCGTGTGCTCCCCACCCGCGATGGGAGTAGGAAACTGTGAGCCAGGAAGCTCGGGGATACGGCAGTGAGGGAGCCAGTGCTCTAGGTGAGTTTTCCCTTCGGGCGCCAGCAGAGTGGGGATCTGCAAGTCTCTCCTCTGTGAGGGGCTGGTACCATCTTCCGGAGCTTGACTGTGGCCCCGCCTTCCTTCGCGCTGCACATCCGCTCATTGACCAGAGTCGCCTTGGCGTTTCTTCTCCCCGCCCACAGCCCTTCCCTGAGCCAATCAGTGGTTAGGTGTGGCGGCGCCTGGGTGCCGGACCAAGTTGACCAGAGCTCCGCTGAAGTGGGGGGTCTGGCAGAGCCGTGCTCTTTATAGAGATAGTGCTCCAGGGAAAATGGCTTCATTCAGAAAACTCAAGCGTCATTCTACGTTTTTGCACCAATCACTGAAGTCTGGAATTTTTGGGTGGTGGTGCTGCGGTTTGAACTCAGGACCTCATGCTTGCTGAGCCGGAGCTCTACCACTTGAGCCATGCCCAACCCAGTCACTAATATCTTGAGTCAGAAAATTGTCTTCAAGCTTTTTTTGTTTTGTTCTTCCTTTTGGCGGAGGGTTGAATAATGTCACTCACTCCCTGATGAATTTAAACAAATACATGGCCTTAAGCAAGTGTTGATGGCTTCCAAAATCATACCTGCAGCCGAACCGCTAGTAAGCGCGATTGTGCATCCAACTCCCTGCTGGAGATAGTGTTTCGTAGGTATTTTACTGGGCACGCCATTGCGGTGTCAAACCAAGCCTCACGTTCCCAAACATCCCCTCCAAATAAATGGCAAATCCATCCTTGCAGTATTTTAAACTTCATCCTCACGTAGCTCTCACAATCTAATACATCCTGTTGGCTCTGCGGATGTCCACACCTGAAAATTGCTGGCCACCTTCGCCACCATTACCCTAATCCAAGCCAGCGTCATCTCTCTTCCGTTTGTGGCCCTGCCTCTCCAGGCTCCCAGCTTTCCCCTGTGCTGTCCTCCATATAGCACTTGTGGGCCTCTTCATAAATCAAGTCCCTCCAGTCAGGGTAAACTCCAAAGTCCCGGCCATGCCCTAGAGTCACAATGTAAAGTACCCGTATTTCCTCACCAACCTCCTCCTCTTTCACTCTTATCTACAGCTCTCGCTTTGCTCTAACCAGCTGGTTTAACATCCTTCTGCCTCCTGAAGTTCCCTTCCTTCCTTCCTCTCTTCTTCCTTCCTTTCTTCCCTCTCTCCCTTCCTCCCACCTGCCCTCTCTTTCTTTTGTTTTATTTATTAGGAAAGAGGAATTATACCTTGGGTGGGCAAATCAGATAAGGACCAACCAGGTGGCTGCATGGAAGCTGTTAGGATTTGGAATTTTATTCAATAAATTGGGATTACTAGGTGGCATTAAAGCAGGACCCACCCCTTCTGACACCTTCCCAAATGATTTTGCAGCCTTGTCACCTTTGAATATTCTGTTCCATTTGCCTGGAACACTCTTTGCCTACATAACACATGGTTTCTTTTTCCACTTGCTTTAAGTCTTCCATACTGTCGCTTTTCATGACAACCTTATATACAATCTCACTTCTCTTTGCCCCACTATTGTTCCTGCTCCTCCTTAACGTCTTCCCTATCATCTTCAGTCTTCCTCATAATAGTTATACACTGAGCATATATGTTAGTGTTTTGATGTCATGGTCTCCTCCCATTAGATCAAATATCTATGACAGATTTTTTTTGTTACTTCTATTCATTGTTATGTTCTTTTTTTATTATTATATTAATATGTGCCATTGTTATGTTCTTAATACCAAAGACAACACTTGACACATAACAGGTTCTTGAGAAACACTCATTGAATGGATGGCCAATAATAATAATAGCCAGCACTCATATAACCCTCTGTTGAGAGTAACTTTTTGCAGTTACTGTTTTTTTTGCAGCCCTGTTTTGTGTTGGGTATTTTTAAGGTACAGCCTCACCAACTATTTTCCTGGCCTGGGTTCAAACCATAGTCTTCCTAATGTTTACCTCCTAGTAGCTAGGATTACAAGTGTGAACCACTAGCACCTGGCTGCCAGTCACTCTTGTAAGCACTTTCCACACATTCTCATTTAATGCTCACAGCAACCCTGAAGTTCCCATTTTGGAGATGGGGATTTTGAGAGAGAGAGAGAGTGTGTGTGTGTGTGTGTGTGTGTGTGTGTAGGGCTGTGAATCAAACCTAGGTCCTCACGTATAGTTAGATAAGTGCTCTACCCCTGAACTACATCCCTAGCCACTTGAGATGGAGAAACTGAGGCTCAGTTAAGCCAGTTGCCTAAGGTTATACAGTTGTTAAGAAGCAGAGCCAGGAGTTGTACCTTAGCGATGTAGTAAGAGTGTATACTTTAAAATACTACAATAAAAAATTCACTTTCTCTAATAACCACCTAATTGTTTCCTGATTTCCTCAACTCTGAAAAAAGGCTAGAGGAGATGTTTATGGGATTCTAATAAGTCCAGACATTTTAAACATTAATGAAAATTTCTTAATAACAGCAATTGCTTAAATTAACTATAAGTGAAAATACAGGATATAAAATTATGAATATGCCAGTTATTAGAGAAAACACTAATTAAAATAAGGATGCATCACTAACAGTTATTTGAAAAGGATACAAAATAAAGATGATGGGTAACTATGGCAACATTTGATCTACTGAAGTTCAGGTGACTGACTATATGGCAAAGCAAGGAAACAGTCTGTTCTGTAGAGGGAGAACTAATATCATTTGCCCTGAAAAACTGCTCTGGGTCAATAGGTTTTGGAAGAGCTAGCATAATACACCTGCCTCTTAAACATTCACAGCACATTTTGAAATCTAACAGCAAAGATTTTGGGAAGGCACACATAAAACATGTGCCTATATAACCTATTGTCCAAAGAGGGCTGCATTTGCCTAAAATAAATACTAGCCAGTGAGGAAGATAGGATGAATCCCATAAAAAACTGTCACAGCATGTACACATCCATGGTGACCCCTAGTCACCCTAAAGAAACCTGATAAACTTTGTTTTGTGTCACTCAACATTTCAAGAGCTTATTTAAGCATCAAATGCCTTCTGTAATGTTTTCTCCAGCCTGTCATTCTCACTCTGGTAAAGAGTATGCTAAGGAAATTAGTTGAAGAGGCTAACTGAAATTAGAAATAACATGGTATTGACATTGATTTATACCAGGATCTGTGGAGACCACTCAGTGTGTGCAAATGTGCTGCTTTATTTTCCTGATTCACGACGAGTTCATCATAATCAGTGCAGCACCCCACCATGTGTAATCGTTCCCATATGTTTCATGTGTTTCTGACGGGACCCATCGCAGTTACTGTCACCTAGGACTAATTTAAATCTCTTTTTTAAGTAGACCTTATTTTCTCTTCAAAAGTACCACATAATGACCTAGCTAAGTCATTGAACAAATTCCATTTCCTGATGTTAAAGAAGTGATTTAACTGTGTTGCATAAAATAAAAAAGAGTTGAATAAAGGGAAAACATGCTTCTATAGGAGTTGATAATAGATCAGGGCAGCCTTTGTGAATTGGATCTCTCTGCCATTTGTGCTAGCAAGTCTATAAAACTAATTGTCATGTTGTGAATTGGAGATAAATTCACTCCACTAAGTAGCTGTTAGGGTGGTCAACTTTCCTTCCCCATGAGACCCTAACATGCCCCAGTCCTTGTTCTCTACTTCAACACTGGTACCCTACTGGCAACTATGTGAAGTCTTTCCTAATAGACAATGATCTCTTTCCTGCCCCACCCCCCAGACTGATACTGGAGCACTGTAAATGATGTTGCCATGACAGTGTGGAGCATGAATTGATAGAGGGACATTAGAAACAGTCTAGGTGGGAGGAACCAAGGTTCTGACAGGAAATGAACACAATCAGTTTAGGAACTTTAAAGATACTATTTAATAAGCCCTTTTTAAAGAGGTGTGACCAAGTTCAAAGAAACCATTACTGTCCCTAGGCCTCAAAGACCTGCTAGAGTTAGGAATGCAGGGCTGCCTGCAGAAACTGGTCTTTAAGAGTCCCAGCCTTTGTCAGAATCCTTCCAAAGCAGGGAGAGAAGAGTGAAATATTGTGGCCTTTTTTCTTCCCATTTTCCCACATCCTTCCAGGGAATTGGCTGAACCCAACCATATGAAAGGCAGAGTCAGATGCTTGTAGTCTGTGAAGGTCAGCTGACCAGAGTCCACAGGAAGGAAAAGAAGGACCAAGTATGGGGTTTAGAGGACAAACTAAATAATACTGAGCATGAAAGCGAATGATCCAAACACTGAGCCCCTGAATTAGGCCCTGGTAGTCGGGGTTGTCAGGACGGGGAGAGTCAGGTCTACACATTTCATTGATTTCTATGTATTCAAACAAATGTAGATTAAAAAAAAAGTCATAAAAATTGTACCTGTCTTGAATATCTAGACTTTTTTGTCATTTTCCCTAAATAATATAGTGTGATTGTTTACATAGCATTTGCATTGTATTAAGTGTTATAAGTAATTTAGAGGTGATATAAGAGATGATGATAGAGATGATACAGGAGGGTATAAATAGATTTATAGAAATACTAAGCTATTTTATGCAGGGGATTTGAGCATCCTCAGAGTTGGTATCTACATTGGTCCTGGAACAAATTCCCTATGAACACCAAGAGTAAACTGTGCTGCTTTTTTTGTGTTCAGGGAAGGTACAGCCCCTACCACTAGTTATAAAAAATAGGACTTGATTTCACAGAATAAAATCTCTTTCTTTTTTTAGTTATACTGGGATTTAAACTCAGGTTTTCATGCTTGCTAGGCAGGTGCTCTACTGCTTGAGCCACTCTGCCAGCCCCAGACTAAAATCTCTTTAAGAAGGTAAATCAAGTTTTCCCTTGTAGCAATAGGATTTGTTTTCAAAAGGGTAACCCTTCCTTTTTCTGCTCACTGTAGGAGTTTAACATGCTAATCCTAAGACTCCACAGTATAAAATATACAAATTAGAAAGTAAAAAAATCTTTTCCTTCTTATCTCAACTTCTTTTAACGAACAGTTAATTATTTGTTGAATTTATTTTCTGACATTTTTTCATTCATATGTGGTAATTTAAGAATAATATCATAGCAGAAGGCCCTGGTTTTGATCCTTAACACTGTAAAATAACAAAAGCAATACTTTTTCGGGTAGCTATAAAATAAGAATATTAATAACAATATATATTTTAATGACCTCATTGCATTCTACTGTTCGCACATATATTTATTTAAACTGGTTTCCTATTTTTGAACATTTAAACAATTTCTCATTCTTTCTTATATACAATGATGAAAGAAACATCTTTAATGTTCTGATATGAAAACATCAAAACGCTGCCTTACATGTAGGCCATAGGCCAGTAAAGGACAATGGTAGAAGACTAAATTGTCTTATTAAACTTTCTTCTCCAATTTAAATTTTCTAACATTTTTACCTTTTTAGTATTAATACATTGAGATGATTAGATAGTATTTTCTGTTTCTTTGCGTTTTTCCACTTTTTAAAAACTAATAAGTATTAGTACTAAATTAATGAAATGAAGTTAACCATGCACATAACTAAACTCTCTTATTCTGTCCATTCTAGGATTTCATTGTAACTGATCGTAACCTCTCTTCTGGCTATATCCTTGGTGTAGCTTTTTAACTACATAATTTATTTACTTAATGGAATTGGTCACTGTGACAGCTGGAAATGCCATATCAGCTACCTGATGCAGAGAAGTTTACTGCCTGGTTATTATTATCAAGTTTTATGCCCCTCCTCATGGGATTGTCCCCTATTTTTGGTTCTCAGTACAATTAAGTCTGAAAGTAAAATAATGGGGGAAAGGACTGATTAAATTTCACAATTTATGAAGAAATGAAATGCTGTTTTAGTAAGTATCTATGTTGAGGCATTGAGTTCTAGGATTGTATATGTAAATTGTCTTTCTTATCCTTTACCTCCTTAGAAACTTATAGATGTCCAGAAATGACTGAGATAGAGCAGGCAGAGGCCCAGCTCTCTGAGTTGGACCTGTTGGCCAGTATGTTCCCTGGGGAGAATGAGCTCATAGTGAATGACCAACTGGCTTTAGCAGAACTGAAAGATTGTATTGAGAAGAGGACAATGGAGGGGCGATCTTCAAAAGTTTTCTTCACTATCAATATGAACCTGGACATAGCTGAGGAAGCAATGGTAATTCGATTTTGTTTTTAGAAGAATTAAAGCATGCCAAGACTTAAAACAACACCTCTGGCATTTTTCTTCTTTTTCTCAGGTGATGTTTTCTGTGGCCTGCATTCTTCCCTTTAAATACCCTTCAGTCCTGCCTGAAATTACTGTCAGGTATGTTACCAAAACTTCCCACTGGACAGGACAAAATTAATCTGAGAATAAAATCAATTTGTGAGAGTGTTTTCTAAGGAAATTGATTTAATTTTCCCCTTGTCTTTTCCATCAGATCAGTATTATTAAGTAGATCCCAGCAGACTCAGCTGAACACAGATCTGACTGTATACCTGCAGAACTATCTTGGAGATGTCTGTATATTGAATGCCACAGAGTGGGTTAGAGAACATGCCTCTGACTATGTCAGCAGAGATGCCACATCTTCCAGCACCAAAGAAAGTACGGTCCAGCCAGTTGATCCCATTCTTACCAGACTCTGGATCTACAGCCATCACATCTATAACAAATGTAAAAGAAAGAATATTCTAGAGTGGTCAAAGGAGCTTTCCCTGTCTGGTTTCAGCATGCCTGGGAAACCTGGTGTTGTTTGTGTAGAAGGCCCACAAAGTGCCTGTGAAGAATTCTGGTCAAGGTTTGCTTTCACATATTTTAAACATCATGTCAATAATTGCTATTTGAAAGAAGATTATAGCGATGTGGAAATAAGTATGTCCCATTGGGTATATCTTCACGGGGATATGGTTTCAAGTTAATGGATAAGGCAGAACTCACACATGGTCATCATTACCCCATCACCTAATGCAATCACACAGAACCCATTCTGTGAAGATACATGGAATGGGGCTGGTAGAGTGCTCAAATGCTAGAGTGCCTGCCGAGTAAGTGCAAGGCTCTGAGTTTAGAAAGAAATACAAATATGTTGAATGATTTGACTCCTGCCTAGGATGCTTCCTAAGATCCCATCCATTTCCATGGATCTGATTCTACCCTCACGTTACTAATGTACATGTTCACCCCATGGAACAAAAGACTTTTAGGAGCACTAGGATAGCCACTCTCCTACAGATAGTTTTTAGTTCCTGAGAAGTTCCTTGAGGAGTTTCAAAGTCAGCAATTTCTACATTTTTGAAATACTGATCTAAGGAAGTAATAATGGCAATAAATAGGCTTGGGGATGGGACCATGACCAGAATCACTTGGTTAAAATAAAGCCCTGTAAAGCATACTTATTTACTCATAGGAAGAAGTACTGATACATCTGTTGTATAAATTCTGTTTTCAGTGCTCTAGAATATGTAACAGATTTTGAAAATTTCTACTTTGAAAATTTCTTTCCAGACTCAGAAAACTAAACTGGAAGAGAATTCTAATTCGCCATCGAGAAGATATTCCTTTTGATGGTACAAAAAAGGATATGGAAAGACAAAGGAAATTTTCCAATTTTGAAGAAAAGGCGTTTAGTGTTAATGGAGCCAGAGCAAACCACATGGACTTTGGTCAGCTGTATCAATTCTTAAGTGCCAAAGGATGTGGGGATGTTTTCCAGATGTTCTTTGGTGTGGAAGGGCAGTGAGTGAACAGAAAACTGGCTGAAAGCATTTTGTCACTTAGCCTTTTGACTTTTTTCCCACTCATTCTTAAAAGATTAATTTTAGTTCCATTTCAGAATGTGAAAGGGGGAAAAGAAAAGAAAAAGTAGTAGAGTTGAAATACATTTGTTAAAAATGTCATGATTAAAAGCAGAACTAAGTTTCAAATTATAATCTTCAAATTACTGATAGAAATTTCTTGACATAAAAACTACCTATTTTGAAAGAGAAACTAATTACATCTGAAGATAATGGTTGGTGATCCAACTTGCCAGTCATTCCCAGCATTTTCTCCTTCTCCTGCCTTCGTTAAAGAACCTGGGAAAGCTTCTTTCACCCTTTCAGCCTCTTTTACAGCTACAGGTGGCCTTGGGTTACAGCTGTAAGATTTCTGGAAGAACCTTTGCCGCCCACTTAAAGTGATACATGCAGTGAAGACTTTTTCCTGCTCTGTGTCTCAAGCGTGAAAGTAATGGCTACAGCTGGAGTGGTCTTTCTGCCAGCAAGGAAGGAAGGTTCAAGAGAACCATAGAGAAACATTTGGGCAGCTCACCCAACTCCAGCTAACATCTAAACTATAAAATAAAATCAGTATAAAAATTTCTGTGCTGGTTACTAGCTTTCAAAAGCTGGTTTGACAACAAGACTTTTTCAAAGTTTTACTTTTGTATCTATTCCAACCATTTGATACACATTTAGTGAAATTTTTCTTAAAATGGAGTTTGTACTTCATCTCTATTTTTTGTGTACTCCTGCTCTGCCCATGGGCTTGGCCCACAGAAGGCTGAGGAATGAGTGAAGCTTGAACTTTTTTTTCCACAGGTCTCACAAATTCATCAGAGTGGTAATCTTGAGAATTCAATTTTGGCAGCCTGAATTTTGACAAGTATTTCTTTCTGGAAATGACTTTTTGTAAACATTTTTGGCAAATTGACCAGCCAGATAAACACGCTGATTTTCAAAGCTCTGATAAATTAGTTCCAAAGTTCATTTCTTAAATATTTGGTAATTGCTAGCACTCAGATTGGTAGCATGTGTTGGATATTCTTAAGTAAACAGACTTTATTGAGATTGGGGTGAGACACATGCATTGTAGAATTTTCTTTGTACAACCCTCACCAAAATTACTTTTATTTGTATTTGCTACATAAATAGATTGGCAATTCATAGCACTTGATCATTTGTTCAGAAATGAAATGTTTATAAAATCAATAAATTACACTTTGAAAAAGGTATTCTATCATAAGTAATTAACCAACTTCAAGATAGTGCAGTTGAGTAAATTCTAATACTCTGCTCTCAGTAGTTTATAAATAAAAATTTCTTTAATTTGTATCCACTTCCCATGGCTTATTCGTGCTCTCCATATTCAGAATCTAAGGTTCCTTTCTGAAGAGATCTTAATTTTAAGACAAAGCATGGTCCACATTCATGAATTCCCACTTTCTTTTCACTTTTGAACATGCTCCGTGAAATCTGAAGAGCATATATAAATAATCCTGCTGACTGGGGGATGTGCCAGCCTGCAAACATGTCCAATTGAATGACCTACCAAGCTTGTAAAATTACTCAGAATTACCTCAGTAAATGTTCTCTACAGTCTTTACCTCAGAAGTTTTTGGTTGAGTTAGTTTGTTTTGTGGTACTGGCAATCAAACCCATCTTAATTTCTTTACAGAGATTTACACTGCTTATTTTACCTTGAGCAACTGGACCATTTGGTAAGTGATCTAAAGTAAATCCATTGGATTGTCTTCATTGATGACAATTATATCTGTGAAATCTCTTGAGATGCATTGTGGAAGAAATTTTTTCAGAGCCAGTCCTCTTCTGTAGTAAACATGGAGTTTGGTGTAACTGTGGAGAGCTGTTCACAAGTTTTCCTGTTCTTCCATGAAGTCTACCTGATGCTGTGATGAGATCTTGGGAGAAACAAATGCATCGATAGCTTCATCTTAAGCAACCTCTTTATTATGGTCTAGTACAGTTCCATCATAGACTCAAGTTGGTTGTCAGGGGTCTTGGGTGTTGGTGTTGGTGGAGACTTATCACCAAAGGCCTCTCTTTTTAAAGTTTCTGCCAACTTCTTCTGCTGCTGCTGTTTGTCTTAATTAATCTCCAACATGCTGAAGCCTGGGGGCAAAGCAGCTACTTTTGGGCTTGGACCTTGCTTTTCTGTCGTCCCATCCCTCAGACTTCTGAGGCTCTTCTCCACTGGCTTTACTTTTCAGGCTTTACTTCCTGCTGCTGCCACTCTTTTCCCCCACAGTGTGCTATTTACCTTAGGCAGAGGCAACATATATGCCCTTCACTGAGTGACCCAGTAAGTAGGATATACAATATATTACTAATGTGATGTAGCCATCAAAAGGAATCCAATTGAATGAGGTAACATGGATAGATCTTAAATATGTAGGTGGTTAAACACAAATTAGAATCAGAATGGTATTTAAAGCAAGTGCTGTATAGATGTCTTTGTGCCTCCAATTCCCTCTCTTCTACCCACCTCCTGAGAGCCCTGTCACTTGCCTGAAATGTCAGTTCTTGCTCTGCTGCCACCACATGGCCAGATCACTAGTCACAAGTAGATTGGGTAAAATGACATCCCTAGAGGCCACCAAAGGGGCCAGATGATGAATAGTGTTAGCAGAACTTAGCTAATAAAACTTCCCAGGCTTTGTACAAATAAATATCTCAAATGTAACACGAGTACAGAAAAGCTTTCTATGTTCTCTTCCAAGTCAAACCTCATGTCAAATGTAGACATTTAGAATTATTAAGTCATAGTAAGCAAGAGAAGCACTACTTTTCTGACCTCACAAGTAACAAATTCCTTTGAACATAGGCAAAAGATCATAGTTGTCAAAAAAACCCCACCAAGTTAGATGGTCCTGCCTATGTTGTACAATGAAAGAGACATAATGAAAAACTGTAGTTAATTGTTAAAGTGAAAGCAACATATCTTTCTTATACTTCTTGGTACATAAACATTGTTAAATGTAAAAATATTCAGCATGTTTGCATGCTTATTTGCTACAATGTGAAAATTTGTCAATATATGAATCTACTATATAACTTGAACTGGAATCATCCAGGACAAATCTTGAAAAGAAACAATTAGTTTCAAGTCAAATTATTTATAGAAGTTAGATTCTCCATAGAAAACAAAAATGTAGGAAACATTTGCTACATGTCTGCTTTTTTTTTTTTAGACAGGGTCTTGCTATGTAGCACAGCTGCCTCTAACCATCTTTTTCCCTCTGCCTCCCCAGTGCTTGGATTACAGGGGGCATCACCATACTTGGCAAGCTACATGTTAAGTTTTATTTGTAAGTATAACTTGAATACAATAGTATTCTTCAAGGCCTACAAAAAAAAAAACCTAAAGTGAATCCCACAAATTCAAATTAGTTGAATGCTGAGTAACAAGTTCAAACTGTAGTCTTGTCATCTGCACTTTCATTTAATTAAATCAAACTGCATTAAAAAAAAAACTGCATCTGTTGCTCTGTAGAGTGGATTACTTTCCAGCACTTAAATAAAAACTGTTACATGACTTTTTTTTTTTTTTTTTTTGGTAAGGATGTATATTGGGGCAACTCAACTAAAATAAATCATTGGTGAAATTCCGCAAAAGCTACAAGGCAGCCAAGAGTTAAAGGCACTTAGGGACAGGCTCTCATTTTACTTCCCCACCCCCAGTGATGAGGACAACTACTAAGGACAAACCGAGGGCGTGGGAGGCTGAATATGGTGCATACTGTGTACAAATGTATGTAAACGCAAAAATATGTTGAAGCCATTCCAGGAATGGGGAGCGGGGCAGAAGGAGAGGCTCCTACACCCCTGGGCTCGGAACAGCAGCTGGTCCTTTCTGGTCCCTGAACCTGGCATGGCAGCTGGCCCCCAGCGCAGCCCTCGCATGGGGAGGAGCCTTGCAAGCACTGCTCGCGCGGCGCGGTGGCTTTGTGCGCCCTGGAACCGCTGGAAAGGTGGCATCATCTGCTGCTCCTCCGCCGCCTGGGCGCGCGTCTCTGCGGCCGGCCAGGTGCTGCTGTCTTACTCAGATGGGCTTTTTTTTTTTTCTTCTTCTTTCTTTCGCTCTTTTTGTCTTTTCTTTTGGATGCTTACTATGTTTTGGGAAAAGAAGCATTGATATTGCTGCAACGAAGAGAATTGGAGAAATGGTGCCCCTGAGGCGCTGGTGGCGCATTCCTGCGTGTCCCTGATTTTATCCAGTTACTGAAATGGAAACTTAATTTTTTTCCCCAGCTGGAGATGTTCGACATTTCAGATTTTGTAAACCTGCTCTCACCATCACCACAAACATTTTAACTATTGGAAAAGGTGTTCGTTATAGAAAATGTAGAAATAATTGGATTTTTTTTTCCTGATTGGATTTTAAAATCACCTATAGGCCGTATGCTGGGGGCTCACATCTGTAATCCTAGCTACTTGGGAAGCTGTGATTAGGCAAAGCAAGATTCCAGGCCTGACTGGGCAAATAGCTGGTGAGACCCTATCTCCAAAATAACCAGAACAAAGCAAACTTGGAAGTGTGGCTCAAGTAGTAAAGTACCTGCTTTGCAAGTGCAAATCTCTGAGTTCAAACCCTGCTCCCACCAAAAACAAAAGGTCATTCTATAATCTAAGAAGACAGTATTAGATTTTGGTATATTCTAATTTTTTTTTCATATTTGTACGTTTTTCTTTTTAAACAAATCATTTTGTACATGCTACTTGTGTCTGCCTTCCCTGATTAACAATGGATTGTAAACTTCCCATGACATTAAATTTTTTAACAACTTGTTAAAAGACTATTCTATTCAGTTGTCAGAGTTATGTAATTGATTTCAGCAATTCACTGTTTGATCATGAAGTCATAGCATTTTTTGTTTGGGGGTTTGTTTCTGTTTTTGTGTTCCATCAGCAAACCCACATCATTATTATCACTTAAGGAGGTTGGACTTTGGAAGTGGAAATTCACAAGTATCTCTGTATTTGTATTACCAAATTGCACTTAAGAAAGTTTGAGAAATGAAATGCTTCTAAAATTTTCTTTGCCCAGGTTTTTATGGACACATTATTATTTTACCAATGTAACAGATAAAAAAATCTTACATTCTTATGTTATCATTTGACCTTTAGTGTCAGCTTTTAAAAATATGTATACAGGTCAATTAT